AAAAAATAAAATAATTATTTTTTTTTATCACTTACCCTTTATATTTTTTTTTCTCATTAAAGTCCTTTTTATTGCCGTTAGAAATTAGGTTTTTCTGTCAATTTTGCTCCTATTAAAATAATCACTTGGGTACCTATATAATAGCATGATTGATCAAGTTAGTGATGAAACACAAGCCTGATAGATTTTTTATAGGGTTTTATAAGAGTTATGTTGTAGGAGGATAAGTGATTGTGTAATGTTATAGAGATTCGTTTTGCGTGCCTTAATTTTTTATTTTTTATTTTGTTTTAAAAAATGTAGGCCCCACAAAATATTGTGAGTGTAGGAAAGTTTGTTGTGTTATGTTAAAGGATAAAACGAAAACCTTTTTTATATGTAAAAAGAGTACCAGGATGAAGCAAAGCAATTAAATTCAAATATGAACATTGATATGCAGCAATAACACATGGAAGAAAAGAACGAACAATTCAAGACAGATTCATGGTACAAAAACATTACAAATCGCATGATTAGTGGCAGATTTACAACAATATTTTTTTTAATTGAATGAAAATTTTAAATTGATTGCAGCACCCATGGGAACCTCTGTTAGTATATAGGTGTCCAAGAGACAATCTGTTTTATCAGATGAACACCTTTTTCGAAGTGGTATTTCATGATTTATAAATTTGAGCAAACTTTATCTTTATCATATTTATGTCTCGCCAATATTTTATTGTTAATATGTGAATAAAGATAAAGACCCTATGAAGGTGTTCACTCGGGGATCTATGATAGGGATCATGATCATGAGGACTCGAGGACACTGTATGTCTATTATCTAAAATCTGTTCCTGGTCTTGAATCACCAAGAAAGGGTATTAGTGATCTCAATAAGACTAGTACGACGTCATTTACTTGTATAAAGATACGAGGTAGGAACCTCATGGAATGCACGCATGGTGATGCTTTAGGTGATGTCGTGGGTGGATCTGTTAGAGAACAGATAGCACTGAACTGACCCACCAAGAGACTCCACAAGGATTCATTATAGAGAGTATCATTGGATTTGTAAAGTCTCTCATCGTTTGGTAGTGCAGATCGTCCTAGACTTAAAGATGTCATCGAATACTATGTCCTAGAGTTATACTTTGACTGTACAACTTTATCCACCTGAAAAATGGGGAGAACAGTGCCGAAAGGACTTCACAATCCCCTATAAGGGATTAGTCGTTCACAAGACCGGTAGAGCTTGGATGACTTCTAGTTGACTCGGGAATCTATGCATAGTAAGAGATCATGAAGAGTCATGATCTATCTTAGAGTCAATGGAAGAAGATTCCTAGTTCCTGTGAAATATTATATTTAGTCAATAAAGAAATATGATACTCTATCCTTGCTCTCGAGTAAATGTGAATGACGTTGTGAGGGATGATGCCGGCACGGTATCCAAATTAGAAAGGTAGATCACTTGATTAACTCAAATAGTTCTGGGGCTGCAGAGCATTGCTAGTGTCTTATGTGGTCATTAGATAAATTGGGCTTGTTAAAAGAGTTTAATTGATTCAAGTTTATTTATGTCAGTGACTAATTGAGCCTAATGGGTCACACACTAAGGTTATTCTTGATTGCTTACATTTAGCAAGTTTGGACCAATAAGTGTTATTGGGTTTTTCAAGACTATAGGTGTAATTGGGTTGGAGTTGAACTCCAAGTCCAATATCATCATGCGCCTTTGGACTATTAGTGAAAGATTAATTTTTCTATTAATAAGCCCAAATGTGTTAGTAGGCCCAATACGGTATTGGGCCATGAATCCTAGCAACTCAAATAGTTGACTTGGCCAAAATAAGTTTTTGGTGCAATTCGAAATTTGAATTTTCGAATTTCGAATTTGAATTCAAATTTAAATTGCGGGCTAAGATAAAATCGAATTTAATTTTATTTAAATTCAAGAGGTTAGGTAATTAAGGATAGTTTTGAATTATCTTTATCTGTATCTAATATGATTAGATAGAGATTTATTATTTCTATTTTATTTGAATTATGAATTTAAATAAAATTATATTTAATGTAACGTCTGTCTCTTAATGCTGATTAAGGGATTTGATGAGGAAACGTTAATGTAACGTCCATCTCTTAATGCTGATTAAGGGATTTGATGAGGAAACGTTAATGTAACGTCCATCTCTTAATGCTGATTAAGGGATTTGTTGAACCACGTTAAAGTAACGTCTTTTTCTCCAGATCAAGAGATACAGCGCCTCTCTGGACTAAAATCCTAATTTTTGGCCGCCCCTCTTTCTCTTCATTTCTCTTCCTCCATTATTGGTCCTCTCACCTAACCTCAAGACAACATTACAGTCTTGAGAAAAATAAACATAAACACTTGAAAGCTTCCACCTTGCCGCAACCTAACGAGCTTCCAAGGAAATGGAGGGTTCAGGGAGAAAGCGTTTCTCAGAAGCAACCAAGAGGTAGTCGTGTGGATTACTGTTAGAGGGAGTCATCCACTTTGACACCTTCAAGTGAAAAAGGTATGAATTTTAAACCCTACATGTTTAACGGGCAGATCCTAAAATATGAGGCGCATAGATTGTCTATGCTTCCACATCAAAGACCATTTGTTTTTGTTTTTACCCTCATGTAGGCGCATCAAGGTGGGACCTTTGTGCAGCCAATTTTGACTTTCAACCTCGTTAATTAAAAGTGATGCCAAAGTTGACAGACGTAAGTGCTATAAATGAAGCACCGACAGTTTAAAAACCCATGACGTGTCGTGTCCGACACTTCCCGACACTCTCCGACACTTCAACACGCATTATAGAAATTCAAAAAAAGTTCAAAGGTTTCGTTATGTTGAGTTTTTAGTTCCAACTATTAGATTCGTTGGATTACGATTAACATTTTATTGAGTTTAATATAAATATTTGGGATATCTTATGTTTCTTTGCAAAATTGATGAATATTATAAGTTTAGTTTCATTTTTTTGTTAAATTATTGAATATTAAATATAATATATACTATATAAATTAAAAATACTATTTAATATCAAAACGTGTCTTAACGTGTCGAAATCTAACATTTTTTAGAATTAACGTATCGGAGTGTCGTGTCGTATGTGTCACGTGTCCCGTGTCAGTATCGGTGCTCCGTAGATAAAAACATTAAAAAAAAATATTTTTTTAATCTTAAAAAAAAATATTTTTGGTCATTGCTTTTGGGTTTTATTGTTTCAAAAAATTCAATTGAGCCTAGTGTATAATAAGAACTCAAAAAACCTAGAGCTCGTTCAGCTTAGAGTTAGATTTTTTTGGAACCCATATATATTCTATATTTATAGTCTTCAATCTCAAAAAAAAATATTGTTTTTTAACAAAGTGATCAATAGATTTTTATAAAAATTAAAATCATATGACATATTTATAAAAAATTATGTAAATTCTTTATTAAATGGTATTTTTGTCAAAAATATTTATTTGTATCCAAATATTATACAGTGCATTACCAAATACTAGAAGATTATTATCTTATACTATACATTGTCTTTCACAATATCATGCCAAATGCTGGATATGTTTGATAGTATTAAAATTTAATCAGGTATTATACTATCAAATCTTATATTATCATATTTTATACTATATTGTGCACCAAACATGTCCTTAGTGAACCACCAGACTCAGTCTGTTAAATATACCTAGGGATGTAAATGAGTCAGGCCAGATTTTAACCTAAATGAGTTAGACCTATCTAAAATATTTCACGTTTGGCTTGTCTATTAGCCAAATACAATCTAAATTATAAATTTGACCTGACTTGTTTTTAAAAAATATAATGTTTTTCTTGACATATCAAGTCTACCAAGCCTTCAAGAAGGACATATTGTACTCTATAATATAGATTTTGATTATTTTATTTATTTTTGTATATTTAAGTGATGGAATATCAAAATAGTACAATAGGTGAAGCTACACCATGACCCAAAATATTATTTTATTAAAAAATTATAAGATATTATTTTATTAAAAAAATAAAATCTTATTTATTAAAAAAATACAGGTCGGATCTGGAGACTTAGGGGTAGGCCTTCTAAAGAGACATTTTAATTAGCTAACCTGTACTTTTTTTTTTAAACGAATCAAACCAAATCAGGCCATAGACATGACTGGCTGTAATCCTATGATAAGTCGTCTCATCAATTTACACCGCTATGTATACCTATGCGTGGAAGAAGCAAAATGGTTTGCTTTATTGTATTAACTCAACAAATTTAATTTGTAAAACATTTTTATGACACAATTACACCAAAATTGGAGCTTCAACATTCTTATATTGTATCGTACAATATATCTACGGGTAAAAATGGGCTAGGTTGGGTCAAAATTTGCCTGGAAAAGTCTAAGCGTATGCCAAGCATTTTTAATTTGGCTCATCCCAAGCTTAGCACTAGTCTAACTGTTAGTCTGGCTTGACCCATTTATAAAAAAAAAAACAAATGGTCTGGCCTAGACCGTTAACATATTAATTTTTAATTTCCAAGCATAATCATGAATCAACTTCACAAAATACTCAAACTCTGTTGCTAAATCAAAAATCACAATTTCAACGTCCAAACAGAATCATGAATTACAACAAAACTCATCACAATCTGTATTTAAGTCATTTCAAAAGCAAAATGCTCAAACTAAATAACATATATTTCATGAAATTCAACAAAGAAATTCATACTATGTAAATTAAAATAACTACATGAATCTAACAAACACATTATGATGCTTGTAGTAAGTATAACATTTTCCAAAAATCTTTTAATATATTCATATACGTAATCTAACATGTTGAGATGTTGGTTCCTCTTACATAAGAAATAAAGTCAGATTTGTATTAAAATATAATCGAATATAATTAAGTTATAAATAATTGCAATTGATTAAATTTATATCTTTTGTTTCTTCTTCAAGACATACTTATTTTATTTTATTTTATTTAAAAAAATAGTACAATATACACCAACATGTAAGCTTATAGGTCAGGCCTTGTGAAAGTAGACCTACGGTCTATTTATTAAACAAACTTTTTTCAAATTTCAAGCCCGACCTATTTTACGAAATATACTAGGTCAGATCTAGCTAGGCCGAGCCGTAGGCTAAATTAACCCAGTTTCACCCCTATATATATCTACGTCGATCTCTATGTAAAGATTATATTTCATGAAACAGTGGTGTGCTCTTGTGGAACATTTTGTATGTAACCATCACCATAAAACAACGAATTCACATACTCTTCTAGCTTTGATGAACTTTGGCCGTCATAATTGTACATTAGAGGTACCATCCGAGCAGCATTAAGGCAAAATTTAGTAAAGGATGATGGTAATGGATTTGCTGGGCTAAGGCATTCTTTGTTGAGTCGTTTCCATGCATCTGAAATCTTACTATTGATATGCTCCCTTGTTTGTTCAATAGAAACTCCTCGGTGTTCCTTCATGTAGCACTTCATGTACGACCCATCATTGCCATCACGATTAATATCCTGCAGTAATTACAACTTTGTATCAACAAAGAGACAAGGAAGTTGTGGCTACTGTTGTCAAAATTTAAAGTGGAATGAAGTAAAATACATGTGATTTTCTTTCTACCTTGTCGCCTTCAAGGTCATCACACAGCCTAAGAATTGTGGCTACTGTTGATACAAGGTTTGGGAAATCATCCATAAGAGTCACGGTTTCCTCCGTTATGCCTTGGCCCATGAAAAAGAATGTGTGTACAAGGACCACTTGCACCCCAGTGCTTACTACCCCATTCTTCAAATACTCCTCTGCTTTTGGTACGTGCCCTGAAGCAAACCATTTTGCTTCTTCTAGGAAAGCATTGATGAGTCTTACCCACTGTAACAAGCAAAGCATAAATAATTATTAAAACATAGGACCTGATAATATTTGTACATAGTGAAATCTTTTCTTTCTTTCTTTCTTTTTTTTTATTTGAATTTTAGTGAGATTATACCGATTTTATTAAGGTGGCTGTAGGATTCCATCCATGTTTGATGTAGGTTTTGAACGCAAATTCATTCGTTATGTCATAAATAGCCTTGAAGCATACTTTCATGTGGTCTGGTAATTGATCCATCGCTGCCAAGTCCCATCTGCATCCAAATAATTGTCTTGATCATTGATTGACCAGTACCAAAAGAATGTTACATATTTCTATACAAAATATTTACGTTTTACTTTGTGACCCGAATGATGGATTCACACACAGAATATTAATCAATACCTCTTGACAGCATCTGTGAAGAGAGTGAGTGCATCAATGTTTCCATCAAAATCAAATAAATCATCAATGACGTAGATTAGGGATAGTGATTTTGTGAGCTCAATCCTTTCTTCCGAGAGGCGGGGATCTGGGAGACATGCCATGAACCACAAGTACCATTTAATTGGTTCATCTCTGGCAAACTTCAAGTCCTTTGTCAAACCTAGGTCTTTCCACCATCTATAACATGATTATGTGTGCATGTGCACGAGACACACGTTAGTACATACTTAGTGAAATATGGTCAAACATCAAATTTTGAAATATGTAGGACCCTGAGTTAATTGGAACTCACTTGGAAACTGCTAAAATTTCCTTCAAATGCAAAGAGCTAACAATTTGGGTGTCAATTTTGGACAGTTCTTGTAAAGAACTTGTCCATCCTGCATTTTCTAATTGTAACATTGTGGGCATGAACCTTGACATACTTTTATGAATAGGACACCGTAATGTGTTTGCAACAACTTTGACTTGAGGATGGTCATGAAATCTTGATAACCACGCACTGAGATATTGGCGGCTGAACTCCCCTGCTTTGTCAAGACAATCTTCTCCTTCTATGCTTAATTGAGAGGCTTCAAACAAGGCAATTAACCCATCTATATCCCCACAATAGGTATGTTTGATATTGCCTTTATTGTCCCAAAACTTACCAAATATGTCTGTTAGATGAATCAAACAAGCAGGGCCATAGTGCCTTAGTAGTACAGATCATCAATTCAGTCCAGCATTTTAATAAAGTTCTTTTGACCCATTTAATTATTCAAAAGTTAAATACTTTTTTAAAATAACAATGAGAAACGCATAGGAGGTGTGCGCATTCAAATTGCGTACAAGATGATGAACAACCTGTTTAAAAGTCAGAATGTGCGCTTTCCTAAATGTGCGCTTTCCACGTGACATGTATGAGATGATGCACGATTTGCAACACAAAACAATTATTTTGATAAAATGTTTGAATTTTGAAACAATTAGGAAAAATGTTTCATTGTGATATTATTATGGCTAAAAAACCTTTTAATATAGGTATATTTGTACTCCTCAAAGATAAACAGTTTTTTTAAAATTTAAAACAGTTTTTACTTGATTTTATATCTTTAGAGAATGATGTGGACACAGAAACAAATATAATAATAGAAAAATACTACTCTCATTTTACGTGTGAGTAGTTTTCTCATGTTAGAGAAGTCATGTGAGACTCACCATTAAAGGATAAAAAGGAGGAAAAAAAAGCGTGAGTGAGATTTTCGAAGTGAGATAACATGAGATAATTACCTCATGTAAAATGAGGGTAGTATTTTCCATAATAATATGTTATAGAGTTATATTTATCTTATGTGGTTGGAAAATGGTTGTATCATGTTATAGAAATAAAATTACAAGTGAGACCCACATGTAAGAGAAGAGAAAAAGAATAAATGTGAGACCCACCTCCATTTTGTGTGGGTAAGAAGCTTGTTTTTCTTATATATAACATAAGATAAATATAACCCTATCTTATATATGTTTTACCAACTCAAAAATTTAGTCCAAGATTCCCACACTAACCTGCGGGAATGTAATACCCTTGTTGTCTTAACAGACGAAATTGAAGGGAAACTTCTGACATTTCTTGAAAATTATTTCCTTGATAGTTGTGAATTCTAAGCATCCGATATTTCCTTTCAAGAGTTGTTTTAATCTCCTCTTCAAAGTGGTATTCAATGCCTAACCTTTGGATGGAGTCCACTATATATAAACCTCCATCTGCATTATGTCTTGCCTTGTTAAATACACGCTTAACTTCCTCCAATGCTTTGGCATGTCTCATATGGAGAGCTTCCTAAATGATTGAAAAGGTTAAGCTACAAGTAATCTCAAAAATTTCCGTATGGAGAATAAGAAAAAGAGAGAAAGCTACCCGTTACCTTACTATTTCTATTTTCAGAAATATGGATATTTTGCTTCAGTGCAATATTACAACGGGTTTTACTATAGCCACTAAAATAGTGGTGCTTGGGTATGTGTTTGTCACCTATAATAGCTGAGCTTTTGTTCAGAAAAATTGATGGGCGATTGGAAACAAATAAAGGGTAACAGAAAGCCATAGATAAGCCTTTCGTGCTACGAATAATTTAAGAGAGTATAGGAGGTCTGCAGAAAATAAGTGTACCAATTGACCCTATTTATAGACCATTGCTCGTTCATATAAAGCGTGTGGGGCCTACAGGACCCACCTGCTTAATATTTTTTTAGAATTTTTCTCTTTTTAATTATTTTTATTTTTATCTTGTCACCTACAATTATCACGTTAGAGGATATATTCTTGCATAATTAAATAATGAATGCCTACCCAAAAAAAAAAAAATTAATTATTTCAGGCATTTGATCCAACTATATAACTTTGGATGGAGTTAACTTTTTTTTCGTTAATATATCAATCATCAAACTAAATTAACTAACTATTTTTCATATACAATCAATCACAACTAAAATTAACTATTTGTGAATCTAATGTTATTAATCAGTCATATGATTACATCAACCATTTCAAATGTCACATTACCTTCGGTATTCTTTCCACTTTAGGGTAGGACAGAATTCTGTTATAAATCACCTTCCTTTGACAACTATTTCTCCAACCCCAACAAAATAGGAATCCACGTGACGTGTATTACGTTTTGGGCCCTACCTTTCGTAACGTCTATATTCTAAATTGGACTAATTATTTGCAATTCAATAATCTCTTTTGGACGACTTTATGTACCAAAAAAAAAAAAAAATCTCTTTTGGATACGACGAATTGTGGTTTGTTGAAGCATCAGTGAACACCAGAACCACAAGTTCATTGAAGGTAACTACTATTATTGCGCAGGTACCATTAATTGCATTACATTTATAATTTGTCGAATATTCCACTCGGTCTCCGTTCATAAAAATTCCCAGAAGCGAACCACTTTGCTTCCACGAAAGAATTGAAGAGTTTTGTGTGTGTAGGGGTGAAACTGGGCCGGGCCGGCCTACAGGGGCTTACGGCTCGGCATATATCAGGACATACTTGACTTAATATAATTTGTATAATAGGCTAGGCTTGGGCCATAGAAAAACTTGTTTAATAAAAAGGTCGTAGACCCACTTTCAAAAGGTCGGGCCTATGAACCTACAGCCGGCCTATATTGTACTATTTATTTTAAATAAAATAAAATAGAATAAGTATGCCTTGAAGAAAAAACAAAAAATATAAATTTAATCAATTGCAATTATTTATAACTTAATTATATTCGATTATATTTTAATAGAAATGTTACTTTATTTCTTATATAGGAGGAATCAACATCTCAACATGTTTGATTGTGTATATGAATATATTAAAAGATTTTTGGAAAATGTTATACTTACTACAAGCATCATGATGTGTTTGTTGAATTCATGTAGTTATTTTAATTTACATAGTATGGATTTGTTTGTTGGATCTGATGAAATATATATTATTTAGTTTGAGCATTTTGTTTTTTAAAATGAATTAAATGCATATTGTATGAGTTTTGTTATGATTCATGATTCTGTTTGGACATTGAAATTATGATTTTTGGTGTAGCAACAGAATTTGAGTACTTTGTAAAGTTGATTCATGGTTCTGCATGGAAGTTAAAAATAACAGGCTAACGGGCCAAGCCAGACCATTTATTTTTTTATAAACGGGCCAAGCCAGGCTAACAGTTAGACTCATACTAGACTTGGGCCAGGCCAAATTGAAATTTTTTGACGTAGGCTTGGACTTTTCGGGACAAAGCTTGGCCCAACCCAGCTCACTTTCACCCCTATGTGTGTGTAAGCACCGAAGAATCTTGTTAACGCTAACAAGCCTTGCTTATGCTACGGATTATTTTATATCTTCTATTTATAATTTTATTTAAAAGTAATTCTGTTAACTATTATTTTGAATAAGATACGCAATTAAATTAGAGTAAATGTCCAAATTGGTCCATGATAAAAAAACTCGGTACCCAAATTAGTCCCTAACAAAAATAAATTCATTGGATAGTCCCCAACAAAGACAAACTGGACCCACGTTAGTCCTTCTGTTAGTCCAAAACTCACGGTGTCACTGACGGTGCTGAGGTGTGACGTTAAGTGACATGTTGAACGCCACGTTGGAGATGGAACGACATCGTGTGGAGAGAGCAGATCCATGTTGGTCAGACTCAGTTCTCTTTCATCCAAGGAACATCGTCGTATGGTTTAGGATTCTTCTTAAACCAGAAAGTAGGGGATTGAATCAAAGATTGAACGTATGAATTTGGGGAAAAATGATTTACGGTATAGTGATTGTGGGTTTATATTGTATGCTTTAGGGTTCTTGTTAGTTTTTATGCGATGAATATTTCTTCTGGAAGGAGGAGCTCAAGTAGTTCATTTGGATCCAGAAGTGAAAGAAGGAGAGCTGCTCCATTGTGTAAATGTGGGAGGCACAATATTGTTTACACCTCCAAGACCATTAGAAACCCTAATAGATCATTTTTGGGTGCCCTAATTTCAAGGTGAGGTTTATTTTTTCATGCGTTCTTTTTCTTATTTCAATGTTATTAACTGTTTAGTGTAATTTGGTTTAGAAAAAGAAGCCACATAGTAACTTTTTTACATGGGTGGATGATGCTACATCTGATACCATGGAGCTGGAAGATTGGAGAATTAACAAGCTGGAGTTGAATGTAGCTGAAATGGAATTCAAGTTGAACTTTTTGGACATGAAGCTCAATGATGAACTGGAGCTGGAGGTGAATGACGACAAAAAAAAGATTAATGAACACTGTATAAAGATTGAAGATATATCAATGAAGATGCAGGCAGAGTTTGAAAGGGTTGAGAAGGAAATTATGCATGTGTGTAGGTGTGCTAGGGTGATTGTTGGATCCATTATTGTTGTCTTTGTAATATGTATGTATCTTGGTAGTAGGATGGAGTGAAATGTTCATTTTTATTCTGTAATATGTATGCTTCTTCATAATGGAAAGACCAGTGTTGGGATGTAATGAGATGTTGTTCATGCAATGTATATAATTTGGCTAATGTACTTGAACTTTAGTTTATTGGCACAAAATGTAGTATTAAGTTTTCTTGAAATGCAATTTTTTTTGCAAAAGACTGTATAAACACTAACAAGAAGGATGGAGGGAATTATACAGAAGGAGGAATGACCAGTGGGTCAGGTAACAGCTTTTTGTGGCATTGGTGTGACTACATGTTTAGCAGGGACTAAAAATGACTCCGATAAATTTGTTAAGGACCAATATGGTTAAATGTGGAAAATAACAGGGACTATAAAGGTCCTCGATAAAAAATGTTGAGGACCTATAAGGGATATAAAGTACTTGCGTGCTAAGTTCAATTATGCTACACATGACCCCAAAATGAGAAAGCATCCAAAATTGCTTGTACCAGTATTGACAGAAACAAGAAAGTGTATCAGTATAAGTTGTAATGAGAAGCAATGACAGCAATGACAGCAAACAGCTTGTAAGAAGACCAACACAATGTTGTTCCAAAAATTCAACTGACAAGAAGGATGTATCACTACAAGTACTAATGATAGATGGTTTGTTTCCCAATTTAAAAATTACACATCCAATGACAGCAATGACATATAGTAATGACAACAAACAGATAGTAACAAGACATTTTCCATTAATTTCATCACATCGTAGTTACAATTCCAAAAAATCCAACTGACATAATTCCATTAAGAGTAACACAATATACTTCCCCAAAAAAATAAAGTGTTCCTACTTAATATGGCCATAACCAGAGGCATACAAAAAAAGTCAACTGACACATTTCAATAGGGCCATAACCAAACTATTTCCAAAAAAGTGGCCTAATTACAATTCCAATCAATTCCTATATCAGAGTCATCCCAAAAAAAGGCCTAATGTCAATGATTAAAGACTATTCCAATCATTCATGAGGGGCTGGTCTTGGTGGCCTGAACCCTGGTGTAGACATGAAGCTCATGAATCTGGTTCTGGTGCCACTACTTGCTGCAGTTGCTGTCTCATTGGTCACTGCCTCAGCAGGATTACATGGAGGTGGGCTGCTGCCTCTTGATGCTCTTGAACTTGGTTCAACTGCAATTGTTGCATGCTGGCTGCTAGTCTCAGGTGCAGGGCATCCCTGACTCATGATGATTTCTTCAACTGTCCTTGACTGAACTTCAACATTAACCGGTTTAGTCTTTGACTTTGAACGACCAGCAGGTCCCTTACATGTCTTGGGGTAATGACCAGTCTCACCACACTTAGAGCATTGAACTGTGTAAGCCTTTCTAAGCTTCTTGTTGGTCTTCATAAGCTCTTCAGTGAGATCCTTCTTGTGATGCTTTTTTGGACGTCCAATAGGCCTTTTCAAGCGTGGAGGAAATGGTTTTGGGGCATCACAAGCAGGCCAATATTGTTGGGAATTGACTGGGTTGAGTATGTGTTCATAAGTGGCATGCAAAGCATCCATTGTCAGCCATTAGTGAACATGATTTTCCACAGGTTCATTCGTGTGTGCAATGGCAGCAATAGCATGTTCAAATGGCAATCCAGTCAGCTGCCAAGCATTACAACTACAAGATTGTTGTGTTAAATTCACCCCAACACGTTGACCCTTTCCAGAGATTTCATACACATCTTGGACCAAGTTTCCAGTCCATGTTGGTGTCCAAGAATTGCTTGCAACCTTCAACTGGTCCAGCCTCTTCTGCTGTGCAGGTGCAATCTTGCCCCTAAATGTTTATAGAATCCTTTTGTGTGCTGCCATCCTTCGCATTATGTAGCACCTCAATTCCTCACATAAAGTCATTATGGGTTTGGACCTGTAATTCACAATCTTTGAATTCCACACCTCAGCCATGTTATTTGTAATACTGTCACATTTAGGCCAGTGACTGTAGTATGCCTTAACCCAACATAAAGGATGTATATTGTCAAGATACTTCCAAGCTGGTTCGTTTAGAGTCTTGAGCCTTTGCATTACCTTCTCAAATTGGGGAACAATGGTGCATCTAGCACATTCCCACACAATTCCTCTTGTCTCTTTATCCTTCCATTGCTTGATACCTTTTGTTGATCTGA